TTCTCTGATTAAAATTCCACTGCAATGTTGAATAGAAGTAGTAAAAGTGAGCATTCTTGTTAGGAAGATTTTTAACTACAAATTCTACTCACTTAATAGATATATGGGTTCTGATAGTTTGTGCCTTTCAAGTAAAATATATTATAGACTTAAATGTAAAATATAAAACTAGGTTTGCACACTGGCAGTATCATAGCCAATGAGGTTTAAATGGGGCACAATTATTGCTAATTGAAAACAAACAAACCAAAAACCCCATAAAACTATAACACTTCTAGAAGATAACATTAGGCAAAATTTTGGGGTTAGGCAAAGATTTCTTAGATATGATACCAAGGCATAATCCATAAAAGAACAAATTGATAAATTATAATTCATCAAAATTTTAAACTTCTTCAAAACACACTGTTAAGAAACTAAACAGACAGACAGAGCGAAAACATTTGCAAATTATATGTCTGATGAGGGACTTTAGTTAGAAAATATAAAGAACTACCAAAACTCAATAATGAGAAAACAAGCAAACCAATGAAACAAAACTAGGTAAAAGGTTTAAACAGATACTTTACGAGTCAAGATATATTATACTAATATCATATTAACTTCCCTTAATAAAGTATCAATACTGCTTCATTAATTATCACAAATATACTGTACTAATGTAAAGTGTTAATGGAGGAAACTGGGCACAGGATGTATGGAGCTCCCTGTACTACCTTTCTGTAAATCGAAAGCTCTTCTAAAAAATAGACCAAAAAATTTAAATGATAAAAATTTAGGTTAAACTTACTCCTGGTACTCAGCACTGTAAAAAGGGATGAACACATGGAACAACATAGGTGAATCTTAAAAGAATTATGCTGAGTAAAAGAAGCCAGACAAAAAAGAGTGACTATTGTATGATTCTATTATATAAAACTCAAGACTATACATAGGTACATCAGCAGTTGCCCGGCAATTGCAGGGAGACAGGGAGGTCAGGAAGAGAGGAATTACAAAGGGCTCGAAAGTTTTCAGGGTAGTGAATATGGTCATTGCCTTTATTGTGTTGAGGACTTCTAGGTAGTCACATAGGTAAACTTGAAATATGTGCCACTTATTGCATGTCAATTATACCTAAATAAGTGTACTTAAAAAATATGATGCCTACAATGAACTGAAACACATCAAATATGTATAAATACAGGAGTTCATTATGATACCAAAAAGAAAACAACCCACAAACAAATAGCTCATTATTCGCTATTGGAAATTGCCAGCACACCACTTCTCTGCAAAGTGATAAATTAAGAGAAACAATTAAGCATTCATATTATCTGTCCTCTGTGAACGCTATCTCTAGGTAACCAAACTGATAATGAGTGAAAGTTCTTTAAGAATTTCCACCTAATGCAGAAATATTAAAAGAGAATCAGCACGATTTTCAGTTCCAAATAAAGTGATTCTTTCGGATAAAGATAACAAGGCTGCTGAGAGCAGAGGTAAGACGCTTACCTGGAACTGAAGGGTAAATACTATCAAGGGACTAGGCCACACCACCTAAACCTGCTGATCAATCTTCATGTCACTAAGAGGCAGCCAGATGTGATGTGAAATTTCTTAATGCCATGTATGAAACATTCTTGCAAAAATATTCACCTGGAATCTGATCAAACCCTAGACCAGGGTTTCTGAACTTGGGCATTACCGACATTTTGGGCTGGATAATTTTCTTTTAACGAGGGGCTGTCCTGTGCATTGCAAGATGTTAAGCAGCATTCCTGGCCACTACCCACTAGATGTTAGTAGTGCTCCTGCAAATTGTGACAATACAAAAAGGTCTCTAAATATCACCAAATGATCCCTGCCCCTGGTCTCAACCCCAGTTTAAAACCACGGCCCTAACCAGTGTAACTCCAATAAACCCAATAAAAAAGGAAAAAACCCACTATGCTAGACCTGACTACCAACTTACAGGAAATAATAGATTCCAGCCCTGGCCAGGTAGCCCAGTTGGTAAGAGCGTTGTCCCGATACACCAAGGCTGCAGGTTCTCCAATCAGGGCACACAGAACAAGCACCCAATGAATTCACAGATAAGTTGAACAACAAATTAATACTTTTTCTTGGTCTCTGTCTCTCATATCAATCAACAACAACAACAACAACAACAACAAAAAAGGCAGCACAGAACTGTGATCCCTGAAAGAAAAGAAACAAACGAATAAACCTTATGATTCTCCAGGTTTTCTGCCTGAAGAAGTGTATAAACTGCTGAGTAAGAAAGGGCAACCCTAACAGAGCCCAATGGTCTCAAGATTGAAAGAAAAAGGAGTTTGTGGAGGTTTAAATGCCTAGGATTTTTAGGACAGAGTACTGGGGAGGAGGGAGTTAGGCAGAGCAAGAATTCCAGAAATAGACATAGAAGTTGCCCATGAATCTTAGGCCAAATAACAACTGCATGTGATGATATGATTTGATAATCCTAAAGATTTCACACACACACACACACACACACACACACACACACCTTATTAGAACCAACAAATGATTTCAATAAAGTAGCAGGACACAAAGTCAACATACGAATTGCACTTGCATTTCTTTACACTATAATGAACAATTTGGAAAGGAAATTTAAAAAACTTCTAAGTACAATAGCACCAAAAAGAATAAAATACTTAGTAATTAACCAAGGAGATGAAAGACTTGTACATGAAAACTACAAAACATTGCTGAAAGAAATTAAGGAAGACCTACGTAAATGAAAAGACATTTAGCCCTGGCTGGTGTAGCTCAGTGGATTGAGTGCTGGCCTGCGAACCAAGGGAAGCTGGTCTGATTCCCAGTCAGGGCACATGCCTGGGTTGCGGGCCAGGTCCCCAGTAGGGGGCGCTCAAGAGGCAACCAAACATTGATATTTCTCTGCCTCTCTTTCTCCCTCCCTCCCCTCTCTCTAAAAATAAATAAAATAAAATCTAAAAAAAAAAAAGACATTTAGTGTTAATGAACTGGAAGACTTCATATGATTATTGTTAATCATATTCATATTGTTAAAATGTAAATACTGTCCAAAACAATCTATAGCTTTAATGCAATCCCTATAAAATTCTCAATGGCACATTTGGCAGAAAATTTAAAAACATTCAAAAATTCATATGAAATCACAAGACAAACAGACAAAACAATCTTCAAAAAGAAGAACAAAGCTGGAGGACTCATGCCTTCTGATTTAAAAATCTACAGCAATCAAGATGGTGTGTGGTGCTAGCACAAAGACAGTCACATAGACCAATAGAATAAAGAGCCCTGAAAAGAAACCCTTGCATTTATGAGCAAATGATTTTTTGACAAGGGTTCTAAGATCATGCAATGGGGGAAGGAAAGCCTTCAACAAACGATATGGGGAAAGCTGGATACCCACATGGAAAAGAACCAAGGTGAACCTGTGCTTTATACCACATAGAAAAATGAACTCAAAATGGATCCGGGACCTAAATGTTAGACCTAAAACTGTAAAACTCTTACATGAAAATGTAGGACAGTAAAGTAGCAGGATAAAAAAATTAATATTCAGGCCCTGGCTGGTGTGGCTCAGTGGACTGAGTGCCAGCCTGCAAACCAAAGGGTCACCGGTTCGATTCCCAGTCGGGGCACATGCCTGGGTTGCAGTAGGGGGTGCTTGAGAGGCAACCCCACATTAACGTTTCTCTCCCTCTGATTCTCCCTCCCTTCTCCTCTCTAATAATGATAAATAAATAAATGTCATTTAAAAATTAACATTCAGAAATTGGTTGCATTTTTTCTAAAAATTTCATGTGAGAATATATTTATTGATCAGAGAAAGAGACAGAGATCGATCGATCAGGGATAAAACCTGAGACCTAGGTATGTGTCCTGCTCAGGGATCGAGCCCACAGCCTTTTGGTGTATGGGATGATGCTCGCTCTTTCCTGTTTATGCTGCTAATAATATTCTCATCATTAGAGTGACACCAACATTGAGGTATTTACTGAGCAAAACCGAACCTCCCCTCCACCCCAACTCCACCTCTACTCCCCACCCACTGCAGGACCCGCCACCCACAGTTTGGGCATATCTTTCCTTTCTCTATTCCAGTTGTTTGTTGACCTTCATGTCTCAAGTCAGAAAGAGAAAATCCCGAAGCACAGCTCCCATGGTGCTTCACTGTGTGTCCCAGGACCCGGGTTTTAACGCGATAGCACCTTGCACCCGGGCTGTGACCGGCCATTTGGCCATCTGTTGGTTTGGTAGCCGGTAACGGCCGATGGCCAGGGCTGGGCTTTACTATGTATGTTGCGCTGGTGCTCGGCACAGCGCTTGCGAGGAGGAGGCAGTAGGACACTGTTTACTGAGGGCGGCTGGGTGGAGGAGCGCAGGCTGCCTGGATAAATCGTCGGCCTTTCTGAGGCCGGTGCATATCTACGGGGCATTTAAGGGGCCCAGCTTGTAAGCTGTGATCCAGTCAGGCCATTCACACTCTGGCGGCCTGAACTGAAGCCTCCGCAAATGAAGAGAAGTGCACAGGCAATGCACTGAAGCAAAGGGGCCTGGCCTTGCAGGAAAGATGCAACGGGGCCATAGCGTCACCTTTCCGGGCCTCATTTTCCTTCTGTTAACAGAGGAGGAAAAACTCATAATAATGGAATTCATAATATCTGCCCAGTTTACGTGGAGAAACTTTGCAGAATAGATCAGGAGCAAGGTCTGCGCGGCAACCACCCTCTACGAGCGCCCGAAGCCCGGCTGCCCACCACGGTGGCCCTGTCGCTATGACCACTTTGTCCAGCCCGCGTCGCCTTTGGATCCGGCCGGAGCCATGCGGTGTCCTGCTGTCTTGGAAGCGACCGGGGTGGCAGGGAGCAAAGGCTGCCCCGGCCTCCGGGCCCCTCAGGCTGCGCCGCCCTCCTCTGGCCGCCGGGAGGCGACCTCCGGCCGTCCTGCGGGCCCCCTCCCTCGGCCGGTGACATCACCGCATTCCTGTCCCGGCTCCTCCCGCCCGCACCCTGGTGACAGGCGAGCCAGTCCGGTAGCGGAGAGGAAGTGCGGTCCCGCTGCACCGAGCCGGTCCCTGCCGAGGTCGGCTCCGTAGGCTCTCGGGTGACAGCGTCGCGGCCGCCGGGCGCAGCGCCGGGCACGCGCCGCGCAGAGCCGAGCGCCAGGCGGACGCCCCAGCAGAGACGCGAGGAAAATGGCTGATGACTTTGGCTTCTTCTCGTCGTCGGACAGTGGGGCCCCCGAGGCGGCGGAGGAAGACCCGGCGGCTGCTTTCCTGGCCCAGCAGGAGAGTGAGATCGCGGGCATAGAGAATGACGAGGGCTTCGGGGCACCTGCCCTCGCGCAGCCGGGACCCGCGAGCGGGGGTGAGTCAGCACGGTGGCCTGGGTGCTGGGGGGCCCGGGGCTGGCACCGGGTACAGGGCCGGCGCAGCCTGGGCCTCCAAGCCCTGTGGGAGGGTGCCAAGGGCCTGCTATCTACCCGCCAGGAGCAGGCCTCGGGCTTCTGTGTCTATGCGCCTGAGAAGGACCTGGGAAATGGGGAGGAATGTTGGATGTTCCCCTCGGAGTCCCCGCCGGATCCTGTGGATCTGGTACTCCCGGGACAAGAATTCATCATGACATTTCCTCCCCAGGCCAGCTCCCCCGCTGCCGGGCTCTGGAACCCACTGCAGCCCAGCCCTGGCAGTGTTGTCTGAGTGCCGCGAATCCAGCTGTGTGGGGCTCCCAGCTAAGCCCTGAAGGTGTGGGCACTAAGCAGACTCCTCTGCCCCTCAGGCTTAGCCTTCTCCCACAGCTGGGAAAGCAGGGGACACTGGGCACTCCAAACTCGCGGACTTCCCCTTGGCAGCACCTGCCAAAGTCATGCAGTTAGGGAGCTTGGCACTTGGCTCACATTTAATCATTTTATACACAGCATTAAACCCATTTCAGAGATGGCAAAATTGAGGCTCAGAAAGTGCAGAACTAAAACAACTAGCAAGTGGCAGAGCAACAGTCTAAACCTGTTTCTGTCCGACTCTAAGCCCTCTCTGCCTGACCACACTGTCTTCCACGTGCCTGGCTCAGAGTCAGACATACCAGGGCACACGGGCTTCTCTCTGATGGGGTCCGGCCCTCTGGCGTTTTCTGGAGGTGGTCCAGGGCTGTGGTGGCGGGCTGCAGACGCAGGGTTCAGGGCCTGGACCCTGTAACAGCGTGCTTATCAATATTCCTGCTGTGGTTCTGGCTTGAAAGGGGCAAAAGAACAGTTTCTGAAAATGTTTAGTAAAAAAGTAGGTATCACCTTCATGGGTGCATCCAAAACAGCCCTTGCTTCCTATTAATGTTGCCATTTTGGTGGGGGTTTATGGGCCTGTTGGAATAAGTGGTATCTTCCATATTTTTTTAATAAAATTTACAAGTAAGGCTCCTTATCGTCATGTTTATATTCATTTGACATTTACTGAGCGCCTGCTAGGTGCCTGGCCTGCTGGGGACACAGACAGGACTGAGACAGCCCGTGAGGCTCGAGGACTTTGAAGCATCTCTGTGGCCCCTTGCCCTGAGAAATGGAACGGGCTTTCTGTAACACAGAAGAAACTGGAGGCCCAGAGGGCTTGACTATCTTGCCCAGTCACACAGCTGTGAGCGACAGATCTGGCACTTGGTCCAGCCCCAGGCCTCCCTGGTCTGGGCTCTGTTCTCTCTCAAATGCTTCAGCAGTCACCCTGGAGGTGATGGGATGTCAGGGTGAGGAGGGGAGTGAGCCTTTTGCTACCGCCGCAGCCAGCCGTGGAAGTCTCCTGAAGCAGCAGCTCGGCCGGGACCCTCACACTTCCCAGGGAATCCCCAGCAAGTGCCTGTCCATGTTCACCCACCAGTATTCATTTGTCCACACCTCCTCCTTGAGACCATCAGCTTCCCCAGTCTGGCTGCACCTGAGGGACTCCCTGCTGAAAAGAGCCCAAGTCAGAGCCCCCTGAGGGAGAAGCAGGTAGAATCGGGTGCAGGGCAGCCAGAGGCCTTTGGGAGCTGAGCAGGGCCTGGCCTCTCCCAGGACAGTGGGGCGCCAGGGGCTCAGAGCCTGGGTAGGCGGTTCCCTCTCTGGCAGGGGTGGGGCATGGGTTGGCGGTGTGCCTGAGGTGGCAGGGAGAGAAGCAGGGACACGGCCCTCCGAGGGTCTCCTGGACTCACGCCCACCGAAGCTGCGAGGGCTCAGCTGCCTCCTGAGTGAGGCCTGGGGGTGGGGAGGTGTTGTGGGTTGGTGGCTCAGTGGGTGGCTGGGCGGGATGGAGTTCATCTGCCTTTCTAGGCCTAGATGGTGCTGAGCAAGTCATGTCCCCTGACTAGCGCTGAGTGCCAGGAGCAAAGATGGATGGGGAACATATGCTTTGGCCTGCTGGGAGCTGGGTGGGCGCTGGCTCCCGCCACCGCTGCCAGTCGGCACCTCTGAGCATCTCCTCCTAGATGATGCCCCTGTGCCCAGTGCCATAGCGTTGGGTCCCCAGTGTCCCTGGAGAAAGAGGTGTCAGATGTAGGCATTGGGTCCCCAGTGTCCCTGGAGAAAGAGGTGTCAGATGCAGGCCAGAGCCCGTGCCACATTGTCTCTCCTCGGGCTGGGTCTGTGGCCAGCCTGAGCAATGGACACTTTGTTTCCATTCATCACCTTGGTAGGGCCCAGAAGGTTTACTTTTTCACACTCAGATTGCTGAGCCTGACCCCGCCCAGCTCTGCCCCTGACCTGCCTAGTCAGTCCCTGGCAAGCCTGTATCCCCTAGTGGGCCTCAGTAAGCTCCCAGGAATGTTCTGGACCCTGTCTGGCCCCATCCCAAAGGAGGTCAGGGATCTGAGTGAAACAACACCCACAGGGACTGGTGTCTGCTGCGCTCCTGTTCTGCCGGCCTCTGACTGGGGACATGTGATTATAAATATGCAATAGACCAATCAGAAAGCACTATGGGAACAGAGCCTCGTAATTCTGTGTGTGGGTGTGTGTGGGTTCCCAAAGAGGCTGGAACTTCATGTCCAGAGGAACACTCACGGGACTGGGAGACTGGCGCTGAGACACTCCCTGAAGGCCAGGGTGGGCGCTGGGCCTGTGGGTGAGGGGCCTGAGCCCGGCACTGGGCAGAGCGGGGGAGGGTGGTGCAACTCCCACTCCAGAGAGGCCAAGTGCTCGGACCACCATCGCCCTGAATGGACGCTGGTATTGTAAGGCCCGGTGGAGGAGGGGCCCTGGGGGAAGATGCTGCGGCTCGGGCAGGAGGAGCCCTATCCGAATGCACAGGGCTGACATCTGACGTACTTGCTCCGAATCAATGGCTATTTGACTCTGCAGACAGAGTTGATTATAATTTATATCTACCGGGGATTATTCTGTGGATTATGTGTCCTTCCCTTCAGTCTCCAGGCCGAACGCAGCAGTTGCCGCTGCGCATAGCTCTGCCCGGCTGGTAAAGGAACACTTGCCCGCCTGTGGTCATGTCGTGCGGCCTCCCGTGACTTTCTGCTAGAAGGCACTGAAGTTTCTGAGAGGCCCCGGACAGGCCTTGCAGATAACAGCGGGCCCCCGAAGAACAATTCTGTTTCCATTTAGCCGGCACTTACTGTTCACCTGTTCTGTGCAGGAGACTTTGGGAGCTGAGTAGGATACAGAGCCTGATAAAGGAGTGCTTGACCCCTGGGAGGTCACAAGTATTTGCAAAGAGGGTGGGGGCACTGTAAAGTATTCTGGGATACCCCAGAGGTGAGACCTTCCATAAGTGCCTAGGGAAGCAGGAACAGGAGTGGAGGGCTTCTCAGAGGCGGGGGCTCATGAGCTGGGTCTTGGAGCATAACTGGATCGAAGAGCATTCTTTAGAGAGGGAAGCCGGAAGAAAGGCATGGGATACAGGGTGGTGCATTTGGGGGAGGAGGAAACCAGAACAGGGTTTGGGGGAGGGATTGGTGGGCAGTGAGGTCGGGGAAATGGATAGAGCCAGACTGGAAAGACCCGCAAGTGCTATGGTCTGAGGGCTGATCTGCTCATGTGGCAGATATTTACTGAGTCCCTGTTATGGGCCAGGCACTGGGTGCTGGGCCCCTATAGTGGACAAAACGAAGTCCCTGCCCTTATGAAGGGCTCATTCAAGTGGGGAGGACAGTGAGCACACACACAGAAAAACATATCAAGCTGAGGTGAGCGCTGTAGAGAAAATACTGCCGGGGGGGCAGGGTGCCTGAGGGACAAATGTGGGGTTGGGGGCGGTCAGGGACGGCCAATAACAGGGAGACCCAAGGCCGAAGGGAGCGAGGCAGTGAGGCCTTCCAGGCAGAGGGGACAGCGCCTGCTGAGCCCCAGAGACGGGGCAGGCCCGGTAGACCACTGTGGTCCACGGGAAGTGGATCTCTTTTTGGTTTGTTTTTATTATATTTTATTTTTATTTTTAGATTTCTTTTTTTTATTATTTTTTTATTTTTAGAGAGAAGGGAAGAGAGGGAGAAAGACAGGGAAAGAAACATTGATCAGTGTGGGGGCCTGGCTCACGATCCAGGCCCGCACCCTGACTGGGAATCAAACCTGTGACCTTTCAGTTCGCAGGCCGGCGCTTAACCCACTGAGCCTCACCAGCGAGGGCTGGTTTGTTTTTATTGTATTTTAAATCAGAGGCGTGACGTAGGTAAGCGTGTGCTTTACGGGCGCACGGCACGGGCGAGAGCTGGGGCTGGAGCGGGGCCGGGGGCCAGCCTGAGCCCTGGCGTTGGTCTGAAGGAGGGTTGGCACAGGGCGAAGCTGGAGTCAGGGAGGCCTGTGAGCAAACAAAAGCCAGTCATTCACTCTTTCTTTCTTCAACGTATTTTTTCATTTGTTTATTCAACACATAGTTTCTGACTCTTACTACTCACAGGTCCCCTGCGGGTCCCTGGGAAAGACAGTGGGGAGGAGAAAGGACCCAGGTGGGCCCCCGCAGCTGTTCGCCACTAGAGGGGCGAGAGCCGAGGCTCGGGCCGGCAGGGTGCGAAGGGCGGAGGGCAGCTTCGAGGGTCTCTGTTGCCGCAGGAGCCACAGAAGTTTGTGACTAATTGGATGTCAGGGAAAGGGACCAGGAGGAGTCATAATTGAGGGCGAAATGAAGTCCTTCCAGGAGAGGCAGAAGGAAGAAAAATAGGGCAGGTGCTTCCTGGGTGGGGCTGCAGTTCCTGCTCTCCCAGGTGGAGCAGTTGCTCCAGGAACTGCAGGGACAGGCAGGGACTCGCAGGTCCCTCTTCCTTGGCCCTTGCAGGCCCCACCCTGAGCCTACAGGGCCTCTGCCTATTCACCAGGCACAGGTTCCATGACAATTGGGCCATTCCGAGCTCTGCGGAGTATAAGTCAGTTTCTGGTGGGAGGGGAGCTATTTCTGTCTGGATGGCCACAGGCAGTCACAGAGTGTCTCGGAGCCTCCGTTCGAGAGTCGATAAAATGGGTTGATAACAACTTCATCACAAGGCTGTGGTGAAAATCAAACACATTAAAGGCTGTGAGAAGGCGTGGTGAGCAGTCGAAGTACTGAGCCCAAGTATCCATCCCGTCTGGCTTGGGGGGCAGTCAATACGCGACAGGCATATACGGGGTTGGCTCAGGTGCGGAGGCAGGACCGTTCTGTGCCTGCCAGGAGCTGAGCAACGAGTAATGCTGTCTCTTTGTTCTCCCTCTAGCTGGTTCTGAGGACATGGGGACCACGATCAATGGAGATGTGTTTCAGGTAAGCAAGACTCTGCTTTAGCCGTGGCAGGGACCGGCAGCCTGGGTCTCAGGGACTTCTGACCCCATCGCCTGTAGGATTCCGGCTTCCAGTCTTCTGTTCCCTCCAGTCTGGTGCATTGGGATGGGAACACAAAGATTTTGACATGTTTTCTTGCCATGCAGGGCAAAGGGATGAGGAATAAAGATCTCTAGAGACAGGGGCTGATGGGGTGTGGCCACGGTGATGTCCTGCTTCCAGAGGGAGGGATGAAGTGACCCACAGTGAAATGGACGGAAGGACACACAGGGCCCTGCACACGTGGGCCCTCCCAGGCTGAGCTGAGCGGCCATTTCTAACCGGGCAGGCCTTTGACCCAGAGATGCCACTTCTCAGAGCTTTCCCTAAGGAAATACCTTGACAAGGACACCTAGATTATTTGCAGGATGATGTATAACAGCAGACAAATGGTGACAACCTAAGTGTCCAGCACTGGGGCCTGGGTGGGTAAGCTGGGAACCCTCACACTGTTGTGAAAAAGAGCACTCAGAGCTTTCTGTGTTGAAAAGATGCCTGCAATACAGTACATGGAAAAGCAGCTTGCAGAATAATATGCACCGTATGGTCCTGCTTTTTTTTTTTAGAAATATGTTTGTACAAAATATCTGAAAGGATGTGTACCAACTGTTAACAGTGGTTAGCCCTGAGGTGGGGAATGTGGAGGAATAAGAGAAGGGCTTTCACTTTCATTGTTTAAAAGCCCTTATAGCGGTCCTATACCGCACACACCAGAACACCTAGTAAGGACGTCTCTAGTTGAAGACCGCCCCTGTCTGTGCCCAGGTAGCCCTCCTCCCCTCATATGTATGTAAATTGGTTTAGAAGTACTTAGACTGAGGAATAATTATGCTGTACACTTAAAACTCATGTAATGTTGTATGTCAACTATACTTTAAAAAAGTACTTAGGCCTGGCTGGTGTGGCTCAGTGGATTGAGCACCAGCCTGCAAACTGAAAGTTCGCTGGTTCAATTCCCAGTCAGAGCACATGCCTGGGTTGCGGGCTAGGTCCTCAGTGGGGGGCATGTGAGAGGCAACCGATAGATGTATCTCTCACACATCTATGTTTCTCTCCCTCTCTTTCTCCCCTCTTTCCCTCCTCTAAAAATAAATACTCTTTTAAAAAAAGAGTATTTGGACTTAGAGAACTTGGCCCACAGATGGTATCCCCAGGACCCCACAGATGCAACAGTCCTCGCCCCCCATGCCCCCACCCTTTACCTCCCCCTCCTTCACCCCAGATGCCCGAGTGGGGCAAAACTTCAGTGGATGAGCCTTAATTCTCACTGGACTGGGTCAAAGACCCCTGCCAGCTTGGCTGCTGCTCTGGGACCCGCTGAGTCGGGCCCTGTCCCCCTGTTGAGGAGCTGGCCTCCCAAATCCTCAGGGAGAATAAACAATACTTTCTTATGTAAGAGGGATGGGCTGGTACCTTATACAAGGAATCTGGCCAAGACCTGTTTCTGGAAATTACTCAACTATTTGTGAGCTAGAAAAGTCAGTCTCCGGGCTTTAGGACCTGGAGTCTGTGTGGGCCCAAGAGCCCCAAATGATCAGCATGCCTCCTGTTCAGTTTGGCAGACCCTTGAGACCCAGGCTGCCCCTGCCCCTGGCCAGGGACTCTGCTTGGCCCAAAGGCTTGTGCCCTAAAGTGGGCCCGGAGCCGGAGAGATACTTGGAACCACAGAAGAAGCTCGAACACTACGAGGAGGGTAATTTTCCCTTACTATAGGTTGGGGTCTGAGCCCTCTCCTCCATGCCCGCTGGCCTTTGTGGTGGAGGGTCTGAGGGAGGCTGGGCCTCCTCCGCAGCCTCAGGGGGCCCGCCCATGCTCACTGGTCCTGGTGATCACCGCAGGTATGTTTCTTTGTAAATTGCTTCACATCCGTGCCACCCTTAAAGCCTTATAGGCAAGAAGGGTCACAGATGAGGCCTGTCACTCAGAAGCCAGGTCCACTCAAGCCTCCTGGCCCTGACCTGGTGGCCTTTGCACCACTTCCTTGGAGATGGGTCATGCAGGTGGGTCACAGGTGGAAAGCCCCAGTTGAACATAGACGAGGGTCTGGCTTGGGCTGCAGGGGAGGCGGAGCTTTGTATACTCTGCATTTTCAAGGGCCCCCGGGGGAACTTTCTTGCTACTTTTGTTGTTGCTTCTGGTGGCAGCCTGTGGGCCAGCAGGGGGTCCAGCTAGAAACCTGATTTCCTGCAAAGCCTAAGGATAAGCCTGCTCACACCTATTCCAGCTCCACCTGGCACGGCCAGGGGCAGGAGGCCCCTGCAGCGCTCCCTCCTCCTGTGCAAACTCTCTCCTTCCCCTCACGCTGCCCATCACCCCCCTTTGAGCTACTTAGGGGAATCGGCAGTTCAGCTCAGTTTAGCTTTAGCTGCTCAATCCCAAGATGGATACGCTTCATCCTCCTGGCTGTGTTTGGAGTCACAGCCTGGCGTGGCCCATGGAAATGCTCCCGTGGAGTCCAGCCGGGGGGCCAGTAGGAGAGAGGTGCCTTCTGGTCCTGCCATGCCGGACCCCTTCCCTCTCCAGCCCTCCTGGCAGCTGACCTGCTCGCCCCACTGGGACATTCCCTGTGATTGAAGAGCAGCGCCGCTGTCCCCCACCCCGTGCCCGCCTGCCCGCACTGCTCACTGGCTGACGTGGGGCCAGAGAGCTGCCGAAGAAGAGGAGCCAGCAAACAGCGTCTCAGGACTTTGTCTGCCGGCAACACCGCTGGGCCCTGGTCGTGGTGCAGCCTGGCTCGGCACATCGGGGCTGCCACACGGCCGTGGTGAGCCGCCCAGCCTGCTGGCCCTCTCGCGTGCACATCCTGTACCTGGATGGCATTTGTGGCGCATGGTCCCCACTTTGTGGTCTGGGTGGGACGTTGCTCCTCCCATTTGACAGGTGATGATGCCCAACAAGCCCAGGAAAGGGACTCTCAAAGGGCCCACATCCAGTGAGTGGCAGGAAGGGACTTGAAGCCCAGCTCCTCTGGTGTCGTGTCCCAGGCTGTTCCCATGCCTTCTACTTTGTTCGGTTGGTGGCCACTCGCTCTTCATCGAGTCAAGTTGCGGTCTCTGAGTGCCACGCACTGTGCCGGGGCCGTGGGTGTGGACAGAGGCGCACCCAGTGTGTGTTTGTCCTCAGAGAGCTTGCCTGTGGGAAGAAGTGAGGGCTGCGCATGACAGCACAGGCTCGGAGCCTGTGGAGGCCGAAGAGCCGGCTCTGGTTCTTACCACGTGTCCGGCGCCACCCAGGAGCTTTACGTGATTTAACTCATTTCATCCTCCCAAAGCCCCTACGATGTTGTTGGACTTTGGGAGGATGAAATGTTGTTGTCCCCACTTTACAGGTGAGGAGGGGACCTGACAGCTCACTCTGGTCACACAGCTGGGACTTGAACCAGGCTCAGGCACCAGGCGCTGCCCTGAAGTCGGGGAGGGCTGCACGGAGAGGTGCTGAGAGTTGTGTCGAGGTTGTCTGAGGGGGTGTGGGCGGTCCTGGCTGAGGGGACAGCCTCGCACGTGCCAAGGCACACAGGGTAAGGCTGCATCCAGGGCTTGCCCAGAGCCAGGGGCCCTCTGCAGAGAGAGAGAGAGGGGAGTGCGTGGGAGCCCGCGGTGGCCAGAGGCTGCAGGACTGTGGGGCAGGCCCCGCTGCCAGCCAGCGCACCGCCGTGGGCTGCACCGCTGTGGGAGGTGGCAGGGCCTGAGGCCCGTGGCACAGCCACCTCAGGGCACAGTGTGCTTGGCACACACTGAGCAGTGGCCCTGCATGTGCAGCTGCTCCAGGGGCTGAGAGAAGGCCCCAGGGTCCCAGATGCTCCCCAGGGCTGCTCCCCGACCCGGGCTGGGGCAGGCTGCGAGGGAAGACTCTGGATGGAGCCAAACAGCCTGGGCGTCATCTCTGGCCGTTCTCGGCCACATGACCTTGGTCTAGCCATGGCTCAAGCCAGATCTCTTAGGTCTGTGGGGAAAAGTGCTCTGCCGCCCAGGAAGCTTCCTATCCATTCCTGACACAGCCACTGAGTGAGCCCAGGGGTGTGTGTGAGAGAGATGGGGGAGGGGCCAGGGGGCCGCAGGGGCACAGGCCCTAATCCTGGGAAGATAGATTTATCTGGGAAACAAAACGTAGGCGTACAATCATTTGAAACAGAAGTGACTATGGTCCCTTTTGGCTACTCTGTGGCCACTATGTCCACACCCAGGAATTCAGTGCAAGTCCGGGCTCTGTCACTTCCTGGCTGGGTGACCTTGGGACTTTGGCACTAGACTTTCCCTCCTTGTGAAACAAAAGTTACAAAGCCGCCCTATGCAGTGGTGAAGATCAAAAAGAACCGTTTAATTGCAAGTTCTCTGCCAGTTTTAAAGCTCTATAACCTGGGAGTTTTCATTTAAGGGCAAGCTTTGTGAGAGACGGTGGGCCCTCAGGGACAAGGAGGGGGTGCCTCCTGCCCAGAGGATGCTTCCAGCGCGCCCCCTCCCCCCTCCACAGCTGGTGGCATCTCTGGGCTCAGAGCTTCCCAAAGGCACCTGCCCCTCGAGGCCCTTAGGCTGCTCTTGGCCTGAAATGCGCTTTCCCCATCCCTTCCAAAGCCCTGCTTTGCCCTCAGGCTAGACCGGTCATGCCCTTCCTGTTCTCCCTGGTTACCAGACCTGTGTCACAGCATGTACCCCAGCGTGGCCGCTGTGAGGGACAGCTCCCGGCTGATGGGCTGCCTTGTTCGTCCTTGTCCCCAAGCCTGGGCGTGTTCACGCATTCAGTACCCGTTCTTGAACCCCTCCTGCAGGCAGGCCCTCCCGTTCTGGACGCTGCACAGACAGGCAGTCCGTCTTCAGGGAGCTCACTCGTCTGGGGGGAGGAGACAGGTGGTGAACACCGAACCAGCCTGACTTTTCGGATTGCGATAGGCACCGTGTGAAGAAGATAAAACACAGCACTTGTAATAACGTGTGCACAAGAGAAACAGCAGCCTGCAGATGGGACTTGTGTGGGACCGGGCAGGAATCCTGGCAGCTTGGCCTCAGGGCGGGGTCACTCTCTGAAGTGGACAGGGCGGGGCTCACCCAGCAGCGTTAGCCACTTGTGTTCTCCAGATTCCGGCTCTGGAAGGTCCCTGGGGATGTCATGAGACTCTAAACTCCAGTGCAGTGCTGTGCAGGAAAGTGGAATAAGGGCTCCACCCAAAATGCCCCACCAAGGGTGGGTGGGACCCGAGGCTCCAGGCTCTGCCACCCCACCCTGGGCCTTCCCTTCCCTGTCCCCAGATAGCTGGAGACTGGTGTGCGCTCCTTCACCCTGGGTACCTGCTCCCCCTGGGCAAACGCTAACAAAGCACCTCCTCTGAACTGGGCACACGCTGGCTCCGGCAGTGCTGACTGTGTAAGACAGTGGCAGACACACTGGTCAGAGGCCCCGCCCGATGCTGCTGTGTGGGGAAGACATTGCACAACACGGGAGTCAGGACAGTCGTGTTGAGTGCTTGGGAGAGGAGCACGGGAGCTGCGAAGGGCGGAACTGGAGTTTAGAGGCTACGATCAAGGTCCTGCCCCGCCCGCCGGCCAGAGCCGGCCTCCAGCGGGAGCCGTGCGCAGCAGAGGGCGAAGGCTGTGGCAGAGCGCTGCAGGAAGGGCTGTGACGCCTGCTTGGGGTTGGGAACTATCCCTGAGCTTGTGATTTTTGAGCTGAAAACTCGTGGGATGGGGTAAGATTCATCAGCTGGAGACGGGAGGAGAGAATCTCAGGCCGAAAGCAGAGGCGGTGCAGGAGCGCGTGGGGTGCGTGCAGACAGGAATGCGCAGCGCGTGCTGCGTGCCAGAGTGGGAGTGGCGGGAGAGGGGGCCGGGTCGTAAGAGGCTTGGCTAGACTGGAGGGGAGCTACGTCCTTACTCGGCTGAGCGCTGAACCCCAGCACGTGGAGTCCCCACCTCTGGGAGGCCGCGTGGGGAAGTGGGCAGAGCCCTGGTGTAGGAGTCAGAGGGTCTGCCACTACATCATACCATTTTTCGCAGCCTCGGTTTCCTTCCCTATAAAATGGGAATGAATAATAGTAATGTTGGCTGCCTTTCAGTATTTTTTTAAAATTAAATTAAATTAAATTTTTTTGTTAAATACATTTGCCTCCATTTTCCCACCAGCACTTTCCCCTGCCCCCATCCTCCCTCAGTCTTCTAAATGTGTTGCAAATATTGTTGCACCAAATCCTCGCAACGGTTCTGAGAGGTAGTTTTATTACTGTTCTCATTTCAGATGAGAAAACTGAGGCCCAGCGGGGCTAAGTGCCTTGCCCCTGGTGACATGCACAGCCAGTAAGGGGCAGAGGTGGGGTTTGAACCCAGACGCTCCGGCTGCAGAGGCCACGCCCCTCACCACGCCTCTTGCCACGCCCCTGGCCGTGGCCATACTCCCAGTCTCAGGGCTGCTTGTTCACTGAGCAAAGGTTTAGGGAGCATCTACTAAGTGCCAGGCACTGTGCGGGGTGCTGAGGACACAGTAGGGAATGGGACAGACAAGTCCTTGTTGTCATGAAAGTGACATTCTGTTGGAAGAGACAGACAATGGACAAGCTAACATAAAGTGAGCTTATGTCCGACTGTGTACATATTATTGGATAATTAAAACTATAATAGAGATTAGCTTTAATGATAGGAACTCAAGGAACTCACTGTGTGCCAAGAAGTGTTACAAGTTCTTGACATTTGTAAAACTCCTTTCATTCTGTCAGCCCTAAGGAGTGGGTACTCTAAGTTAGCCCATTTTATGAGGAGGAAAGTGAAGCACAGGGAGGCTGAGTAACTTGCCCAGGGTCACACAGGAAGAAGGGTTGGTGGCAGAGGGCACAGCAGGTGCGAAGGAGACGGTGGGTGTGAGGTTGTTTGGGATGTGAGGGGTCCCCGACCCTCGGGCAGCGGAGACTGGGGGCAGGTGGATGCCCTGGGCCATGGCTGTGGGTTTGTGTCCTAGGAAGCTAACGGCCCAGCTGACGGCTACGCGGCCATCGCCCAGGCTGACAGGCTGACGCAGGAACCCGAGAGCATCCGCAAGTGGAGAGAGGAGCAGAGGAAACGGCTGCAGGAGCTGGGTGAGGGCCGGGCTGAGGCCGGCCGGCTGTTTGGGACGTGGTGGGGAGGGGGAAACTCGAGGGTATGTCCCCCCTTCAGGTGGGAGTTGTGTGAGCACGCGCGCTGGGAGGGGGGAAGCAGCCCGGCAGCCGTGCCCTTCGGGTCCCTGCGGGAAAGCTGCCACTCATTCTCCTGTCGCTGTTGCAGATGCTGCCTCCAAGGTGACAGAACAAGAGTGGCGGGAGAAGGCCAAGAAGGACCTGGAGGAGTGGAACCAGCGCCAGAGTGAACAAGTCGAAAAGAACAAGATCAACAACCGGTGAGAGATGCTATGGGGATATGAGGGGGCTGTGGGGACAGGGGAGGAGCTAAGGGGACATGAAGGATCTATGGGGACAGGAGAGAACTATGGGACAAGAGGGGGCCATGGGAAGAGGAGAGGAGCTACGGTTTTGGGGGGCTATCTGGAGACAGGCGATTTGGGGACAAGCCCACGGAGGAAGGAGTAGCTGAGGTGCCCAGGACAGTTGCCTTGGCAGCCTGTGGGGTTGGGTGCTGAGCTCCGAAGAGCTGGGACACTGTTGCACCCTCACGTCCTCACCACGACAGAGGGCAGCTAGGCCTGTGGTCAGCAGAAGGGGTCCTGGGTCCCTGGGATGTGAGCCAGACTGTGCCGGGGGCCCAGCCGCTGGGCCTGGGGGTGAGGACGCAACCTGGGCACTGCGTTGTGTGGCTTGTGGTGCTTCCACCCAGAGTGGCAGGGGCAGGCACGGCGGGCTCAGGGGCTGACACAAAGCCAGTTGGCACCGCTTCTACTGTCTCTCAGCTCCCCTTCCCTCTAGGGGGCCTTCACTCTTGGACACACACCCCTGCCACTGGGGGATGGGGACAAGGGGGCCACCAGCAGCCCCAAGCTTCTGCTCTATTCACTTGGCAGCCTCAGTGAAAATAAGAGACCCTTGCCCCCAACAGCTCCAGCTTAAGTCCTTTCCTGACGCTCATCGGTGGGGCAAGGGTCCGGCCTGGTGACTGTCCCAGGGGTCCTAGATAGACCCAGCTTGCGCAACAGTCCCAGTCCTTGGCATGTGCACAGGGACAGTCCTACCCAAACCACAGGGCCCGAAGTGAGGGCAACCGATCCTGCAGAGGATAGTCAGAGCGCCCTTCCTGGGAGAGGGGCAACAAGTGCCGAGCAGGCAAAGACAGCAGAAGCGCCGAGAACACCTCGTGGGAATGACCTCAGAGCACTTCTGAGATGCTGCCCAGCAGCCCAGCCTTTGAGGCTGTGCCCTTCGAGGTACCAGGCCTGCCAGGAAGCGGAAGCCAGCTCTGGGAGCCACTGCGCTGTGTTCAAGCTGCTGCATGCCAGGCTCTGGGCGGGGGACTGGGAAGACAGATGAGAAGGACCCAGCCCGTATCCTCAGAGCTCGGAGGAAAGAAATGTGGGGGCAGCCCCTCCGTGGCTGGGGAATTGGGCTTCGGAGGATGATTAGGAGTTCATCAGGAAAAAGAGGGCAGGAGGGGAGGCATCTAGGCCAGGGGCAAAATGATACAAAAGAAAGGACATGGTGCCTTGGGCAGCAGGGAGTCAGGGAGTGGTGGGGGAGGCACCCGTGGCGGGCAGACACAAGTGGTGGGGAGCCGCGGAAGGTTTGTGAACAGTAGTGACTGATCAGGGCTGAATTTTAGCAAAGGCACTGGGAGAGGGGGACGGGTGGAGGGTCCCTGCTCTCCTGTCTGGGCTGGGGAGAGTTGCTGAGCCTTCCAGATCCAAGCTTCCTAACACCTCTCGAACTGGAGGTACTAACGCTGTCTCTCTTTCTCTTTAACCCTCTGCCTGCCTGCCTGTCTGTCTGGCTATCCCGTCTCCCCCCCACCTAACCCCTTCCCCTTAAGGATCGCTGACAAAGCATTCTACCAGCAGCCAGATGCTGACGTCATCGGCTACGTGTACGTGTGTCTTTGCTGTCCCCCTGGCTGGGGGCGCGGGAGAGGGTGAGGCCCCTGTGTGGCCAGCAGTTTCTTTCTTTTCTAAGATTTTATTTATTTATTTTTAAAGAGAGGGGAAGGGAGGGAGAAAGAGGGGGAGAGAAATAGTGGTGTGCTAGAGAAACATTGATCAGTTGCCCCTCGTAAGCCCCCAACCGGGGACCTGGCCTGCTACCCAGGATGTGCCCTGACCGGGAATTGAACTGGTGACATTTGAGTTAGCCGGACGATGCCGAACCCACTGAGCCGCAGCATTCAGGGCAGGGCACAATTTCTTGAGTCTCCCACTTGTGGGGTGTAAGAGTGTGTCCGGGTGGGGGAGGGAATGACCAGAGTGGGAGGCGAATACCCAGGGCAGTGCACCTCCACTCCCCGAGCAAATGCTTATTGTGGTCTCTTCTGCTTGGAGGCACCTTTGCTGAATCCAGGCAGAGAGAAGAAAAGAAGGCGCTGGCAATGCCTGGGTGGGAGGGGCGAATGGCAAAGCCCCCCAACTCCTTCCCAAAGAGATGCCTCTTGGGGGTGGGAGGTGGGGTGAAGAGGTCTTCTGTTGAAAACAGCAGAGTGCCGGTTGCTGGAGGTGCAGAGAGCTAGGAGCACGCCCATTCCCCTCTGTGCCCCCAGGTGCACTGCTCCTCCTCGGAGCTCCGGTGGGAGTTTGGCCACGACCCCTGCCCCGACCCCCACAGGGCGCTCACCTGTGTCCCTGGTTTAGGCTCTAGTTGATACTGTGACTAATCTAGAGACACGGCAGGGGTTCCTTCTCCTGTCACCTCCATTGGTTGACAGCGACACCTAGGGGTGCGCTGGAGATTGTGACGCTGAAGGGAAAAGGCGGTGATGAGTGTGTGAGGTCGGCCAAGGACTGGCGGCTTCTCCTGCTAGGCACACTGTCTCCACGCTTGGCCGTCCTGTCCCCGTGGGTACTTACTTCCCCACTGCCAGCCTCTGGTCACACAGGAATGAGGCATGTGTGGTCCGTACCCCCAGGCTGCTCACGGCCGGGAGCGTGTGGTAGTAAGTGCTGTGTGGAAGGACACGCAAAGCTCTGGAAGCCACCGTCTGCTGTGGGAGCCAGGGCAGGCCTCAGAGATGCGGGACCTTCAGCTGGACCCTGAAGTTGAGGAACGACTGGGTGGGGAAGGTGACGGGAGGGGGAGGGCACCCGAGGTGGAAGCAGCAGCTGGGACAAAGGTGATGAGATAGGCGCCACCTAGTGGCTTGTGGCTGCAGGCAGTGAAGGTGGGGGTGGGTGCTGGTCAGCCTGGGGCCGGCTGCGAAAACGCCTGCTGTAACAGGCCAAGGCGCTGATCCTGGAGGCAGCGGGAGCCACGGGCAGTTTCAAGCAGGAGAGGGGGGATGGAGAGGGCCATCGGGGCTGGTCGGTGCTCCTGCTGTGCCCCAGAAAATGGCCCCAGGAACACGTGAGGGAGTCCTGAAGAGGCAGAGTGCAGACCAGCACGTCCGACTTGCACGGGCCTCTGAATCACCAGAGGATCTTTTCGAAATGAGGGTTGTCGTGCAGTGGGACTGAGGTGAGGCCGGATTCCGCATTTCCAGCCAGCTCCGTGACGGTGCGGCCGCGGCAAGACCGGCCCCCACCCTGTGCTGCGAGGTTAGCGGGAGCCTCTTGATCCGGGGCGGCTCCTAGGAAGGCCTCCCTCTGCCCCTGGACATCCAGCTCTGCACAGCAGCTTCCCTCTTCCTGAGCAAGCACACTCCTGCTATCACCTTAGGTTTTCAGGCCCCTCGTGCCGCCATAGTGGAGACTCTGATCCTCACTTGACAGGTGGTAATGAGCACACGGCCCATGAGCAAGGTCACTGCGGCGGGGCCGGGTCACTGATAATGGGCCAGAGCATCCTTGGCACAGCCCACGCGGACCGTCTGCCAGTGCCTGGTCATGCTGAGATGCAGAGGAGGCTTCCAAGGACAAAGGGGTTTCCCAGGGACCCTCGATGGCCAAACAAGACACAGCCCAGCCCTCCCCACCTAAGAATCCTTATTGTCTTTCTCTTAGTAATGCCCACGTTTATGTTTTGTCTATGAAGCTGTATTTACAACACTGTCTTTCCATTGTTCCTTCATCAGTGGCTTCTATACCTGTCAGCTGGAACTTTTAATGAACAAGCCACCACTTGTCATGCTCATTTAATTCCAACCGAAAGCAAAGACTTAAGTGGATGGAGCAGTCCCCACACTGTGGCTCCATAGATAAGCTGTTCTGGGCTAAAAAGTGCTCTACCACCTAACGTGCTCGGGTTGTAGCGGATTCTCTCTGCACTGCTCTTCCACCCACGCACATTAGCACATGGGAGGCTTTCAAAGTCTGGCATGAAGATTCTCTTTAACTGAGTTTCCTATGAGTGTTTGACCACAGCCCTTTGCTGGAGAACACTCACAGGATTCACGGCAACACTGGGGCGGTGCTGAACTAGGTACCTTCAGCTTGTTTGTGGTTAGTCAATGTCCTGTCTCTGCCAAGTGTTTGGAAATGTTGAAAATGGCCAAGGCACCACATTAGTTCTTCCAGGGACCATTAGGTGCCAGGAGCCCCAGGTTGGGAACTCATGATGGAGAGGCAACGACCAGAGAGTGCTTAACTGGGGCAGTGGTGGGGGGAACAGGAGGGAACTTTAGCTGGGGTGGTAAGGGAAGACCTCTCTGAGGAGAGACCTGCTCGTGGTCCTGAATGAGGAGAAACAATAGGCCAAGAACAGCCGCTCAGGGGAAAAGGTTTCTCAGAAGAGGTGACAAGTGCAGAGGCATTAGGGCCGGACCAACCTACGCTTCCCCTGATGCCGAGGCTGCTCCTGGGGGCCCAAGGGGAGAGGGCACAGAGCTGGGGAGGAGACCTCCGGACAAAGTAGCCCACGGTAGGCCGGGCAAAGCAGCCTTGCTCAGCGGGGACTGAGCACCACCGATTCGGGGGAAAGGCCGACAGTCTGGGGCTCTGAGACTTCTGTCCTATCTGCGCCCACAGGGCATCTGAGGAGGCTTTCGTGAAGGAATCCAAGGAGGACGCCCCAGGCACAGAGTGGGAGAAGGTGGCCCAGCTGTGTGACTTCAACCCCAAGAGCAGCAAGCAGTGCAAAGACGTGTCCCGCCTGCGCTCCGTGCTCATGTCCCTGAAGCAGACACCGCTGTCACGCTAGGCGCCTGCCACCAGCATGGCCCCATGCACGGGCAGGGCCGGGGCAGAGGAGGAGTGGCGGCAGCGGGCAGCGGGCAGCGGGGAGGGAGGCCTCGGGCGGCTGCTGCACACGGCCGCGCCCTTTCTCCCCGCCTCCCGGGGCTGGGGAGGGGACGCCCGCCCTGAGGCCCAGCCCTCACACTGCCCCTGTCCACAGAGTTGTGAGGGTCCCTCCCGGTGTACTTTTTTCTTGGCTTAAAGGGTGTGTTGTTAACTCTTTTTACACTTATTTATTATCATTCTCATTTCTCTGGAAGCCACAAATGGTGTCAGGGCTCAGTTTGTGCTCGGAACCTCCCCAGCCTCCTGGCCTGGAGAGAAGGCGAGGCCTTCCCCTTGGAAACCCAGGAGCTCCCAGCTGCCAAGTGGGGGTCGCAGGCGTCTAGGCCTGCTGCCTCCACCCCCGGGAGGGAAGTGCCTGTGGCGCTCTCTTGGAATGCTTTGGCCCCCTTGATCTCTCCTGACCCTTGAACCAGCCTGCGGTGGGGATCCTGGGGTTCCCTTCACAGAGGGACCCCCAGGGGTTTGGCTCCCAAGGCACAAGGCTCCCAGAAGGTCAGGGGCTTGAGGTGGGAGGGCAGAGGCAAGACCAGGGGTTCCCAGTCGAGTGGAGGCTCGTCTCAGCCTGGCTGAGAGGCCCCTGAACGTGGCCTCTGCAGCTCCCCTTCCTTCAGCGGCGCCCCTCTGCGGATTTGGGCTAAAGAGCAGTGACCACCCCTTCTTGCCCTCCAGCAGAGGTTGCGAACGCGGCTCCATTCAGAATACGGTGGCCTGCACCGTGTTCAAAAAGACTAGAGTAATCGCCAGCCATATTAGTTTCGCAGACCTGTTGTAACAGTGTCCGACAGTGTTTGGTTTAGAACAGATCGCCTTCCTCCCCTGGAGGTCAGGAGTCCAAACCAAGGTGTCGGCAGGGCCACGGTCCCGCTGAAGGCCCTGGGGAGGGGTGCGTTTCAGCTTTCTTCCATCTCCTGGCCACCTCGGGCGCTCCTTGGCTTGTAGATGCATCACTGCAATCCTGGGTTCCTCTTCATATGGCCTGTCCTCTATACGTGTCTTTGTCCCTATTTCTCCTTTTTTATAAGGAAAGTAGTCATATTGGATGAGGACCCACCTTAATCCATTTTAACTTGATTACTTCTGTAAAGACTTTTTTTCCAAATGAGCTCAAATATGAGGTACTGGGGTTAGGATTAAATGTATCTTTTTGGAGGGATACAATAATGTCTACAGTTAAAAACAAAAAAAGTGACCATTCCCCTTACAAGTGCCAGAATCTTCACCAGTCCATAGCCATTTCTTGAATCTTGAGGCCTAAGGACGCCACAAGGAGGGGGCAGACAGTGTAGCTGGCCCTGGTCATACACTTCTCCATTTAGAAACCTGGACTGGGTCTGGGTGCTCAGGAAGTGGATGTGTCTTCTTCATCCCCTTTTCCCTTCTGGCCACTCGCAGTGGTGTTGACATTAATGGAGTCACACATGAAAGGAACCTAGGTCCGAATCAACACTTGAGAGGTGACGGCAACCACAGGCCAGGAACACCTGTTTGACAGTGCACATGATGCAAGTCACAGGTTGCCTGTCTCCTAGGGTTTGCTCAGGTCCGCGGCCTCCTTTCTTCCTTGAGACACTAGGTACACAAACCACTAACAGGCTCCAGAACTGTGCCCCTCCCACTACACCAGGCTGCATCGCGAGCCCATTTCCCGTTCCGTTAAACGCGGCAAGAACCACAACTGGACCGTCCAGGTTAGTGGAGCCTTTGGTGCCTCAGGTGGGAGGGCTGTTAAGGAGCAGAAACACAGTGGGGGGCTGACCCCGGCCTCTGACAGGACCCCCGCAGGCCTCGTCTTAAGGAAGGCTTTTCTATTGAAAGCTTGGAAATTGCTGGAAAGATCCCTTTCCCCCTCTCGAATAGTATCATCCTAGGGAATCTACCTTTAACAAGCACCCCAGCTGCAGGAAAGTTTGGGAATCACTAGATCACATCATTTCTAAGGGCCTCTGCAGTCTTTAGTCTGTTTACACCTAAAACCAAAGACCAGGAACCTTTGGGGTGAGACTGAGAATGAAATGATCTAATTACAAGTGGATCAGAGTTTATTAAGTAGGGAGTGGAGAGGGTGCGTCAGAAATAGTAGTATGCAACACCCAAACGGAAGGAAACCTAAGATCCCCCCTTGCCCCTCCCCCCCAAAAAAATCAAGTACTGAATTGGCCACTTCTTCCCCCATTGACACAGGGGCTTGTTAGGGGAGAAGAGGGAATAAGTCCGCTGGCAGGACTGGTGGTTGCTCCTGGGCCTCGGAATGAACTCCGCGGAGCTTTCAAGGCCAGGCCGCGGGCTCAGGGTCGAGATTTAAGAGCGGAGGCAGCCAAACCCAGCAAGATGGCTGCGACCGTGAAACCCTGGGCGGCGATCCGGGTGCGCATCATGAGCTGGGAGCGATGGCTCTGACCCCGGTGGAAGCAGTAGAGGCCGTAGCCGAGGGCGGTCACCGTGCCCAGGCAGCCTGAGGAGGGGGACAAAACAAGTGGAGAGTGGTATGTCCGGCGCCAGAGGCCCCTCCCCGCTTTGGGCTTTCTTTCTCAGGGGTCGAGATTTCAGACCAGGAGTAGGTGGCGTAAGGTTGCGTGTATTGGGCGGTGGTGGCGCGGAAAGAAGGATGGGTTCGTCCTGCCAGTGTTCTGGGAGTTAAGAATCCTCCCTATCCTAGCCACGGAATCCAATTCCTGCTCCAATCAGGTTCACCTCTCGCTGCCCGGCCCCTTCGCCACACAACTGGTCCTTTCTTATTCCGGGCCCACCCGGCTCCTAGGTCCTTCCTTATTTCACTTCCCCTGGAAAGTACTGCCCTCTCCATCTACAGTTCCTTCAGTACCCGCTTACCTATGGGTACCATTGGGTTTTCGCGAGTCTTGCGAAGGAACTTTTCCTTGAAGCTTTCCTGATTGCTGTAGACACTGGGGCTAAAGTCCTCGATGACTGGGGGCTGCGACGGTTCAAAGGGTGCCTTCGGAGTCGCAGGGCCAGGAGTCGCCATGTCTGGGTCAACAAGCAGCGGGAGAAAACGGGTATCGTACTCTCCGCCTCCTGCTGAAGTCATGAAAGGGGGCGGGAAAAGGAATTTGCGGAGCTTTGTACGCAGGCGCAATCGCTATTGCATTCTGGCGGTTGTAGTAATTAGCATTATGTCGGTACCGGTGAACTACATTTCCCAAAATGCCTGCCAAACCTGCGTGTGCTGTGGAAAGAGACTGCTCCGCGAGGTGCTGGAAATGAAAGCTCGAAGTCTGAGTTGCTGGTGCGGTGGTCAGCGCGATGCCTAAGGCAAAGGGGAAGACCCTGAGGCAGAAATTCGGTTACAAGGTTAACCGGAAGCGTTTTAACCGGAATGCTCGACTGGAAGGCAGCGCACGGATCGAGTGTTGAGGCAGCCGGGGTTCTGGAGGCAAGGGGGTGTGGCCGGGAGCGCCAGCGAGTTGACGGTTCCACGGTCTCCCTCTCTTCGTGTGTAGCTTTCACATCCGACATGCCTGGGACCACGGCAAATCCTTGCGGCAGAACTTCGCCGAGATGGGGTTGGCTATGGACCCCAACAAGGCGGTGCCCTTCCGTAAGAGAAAGGTACTGACTAGTCAGGGTCCTGGTCCTTGCCCCGCCCCGTCCGCCGTACTTACCCGGGTTTCAGGACTTGATCCTGGCCACTGTCTTTCTCGCGCCCTGCCTGGGTTTGCGACCTCACGCAGCCAGCTCGGCCAGCCTGCACTGACTGGTTGAGGGTCCCTTTTAGACCTTCCTCATACTTACTCCTCAGCACAAATTGGACATTGGTTGAAGTTCTCCTTTCCTTCTCCATTCATTTTTTTTTCTTCTGAAATTAACCTGTTTGGGTCTCTTGGCATTTTAATGGTATTTTCCAGAATTTGTTTTTCTGCCCTTACTTTTCCTAATGAAGACTCCCCACAGTTTGGGATCTTGACTTACTCTTCCTTACACCTCTCCCCTGTCATCTAACCGTCCCAGGTCTTAAGTTTCCTGGGGCTAGTTTCTCCAGAATAAGCCTTTTGCTGGATAACCTTTTCAAAAATAGCATCCTTTTCCACCCAGTTAATTCTTCCCGGTTTTATTTGAATTTATAGCACTTGTAAATACTTGATGGTATATTATGTATTTATTTACCTGTTTATTGTCTCATTCTCTTTCCCTGAACGTAATCTGCTTGGGGATAAGGACTTGGGTTTTGTTCACTACTAAATCCCCAGGGGTGCTTAGGATGTGACTAGTGCTTAATAAATAGCCTTGTCCGGAAAGCTCAGTTGTTTAGAGTGACGTCCCCATACACTGTGGTAGCAGGTTTGATCTTGGGTCAGGGCACATCCCCCTCTCTAAAATCAACTAAGTATATAAATAAAATAGTTAACTTACTGAGTGGGTTTGGTGATTGAACTTGTTCCATTGCCTCTAGGCAAGTTTCTTTTTCTCTTCATGCCAGGGCGAAATGGCAGTACTGTCTCTAGAACAAATGTGAGGCTGTGGCCAAGGCGCAACTATCAGGTTGCCCCTCCTTACAGAGAAGGTATCTGAAGTCTCTCCCTCATTGTAAATTATAAAGCACTTTCAGGTGCGTTGTTGCATTTGAAGTGAGGCAGGCAGGATGGATTATGCCAGTTTCATAAACAGGCACAGGAAGAATTGCTTGCTTGACTCTTGAGAACCATGAAGCCTCCAGGGTGTTGGTTCTCCTTGTCATCTATTTCTGCCTGACCTTGTTTATGGATCCTTATGGGTCATGCAGTTGTGTAGGGAAAATCAGGATCCTCTAGAACTTTCCTGCGTCCAGGATCCTTTCTTTGTCTACCAGTCTCTGTTCTCTGCAGGTGAAGGCCATGGGGGTGGATGCAGAGGAAAGGCCTCAGGAACTCGTGCGGAAACCCCGTGTGCTAAATGGTAGGTGCTGGCCACAGTCCTGTAGGTCACCATCCTGTAGAGTCAGAGCTGGAAAGGGTCCTCCGATGTCTTCATTTTACCGGTGAAGGACCTAAGTTCAGAGGGAGGAACTGAGTGGTCCAGGGACATGCCCGCAACCCAGGCATGTGTTCTGACTGGGAATTGAACCGGCGACCCTTTTGGTTTGCGGCCCAGCACTCAATCCATGGAGCCACATCAGCCAGGGCTACTTTTAATTCTTTAATTAAAAGAATTTAAAATTGTGGTAAAAACTGGCTGATGTGGTTCTGTGGATTGAGTGCTTGCCTAAGAACTAAAATTGTGGTAAAAAGCATTACATAAATTTTACCATTGTAATAATCATGTTTAGATTTATAGCTCAGGTGTGCTAAGTATATTCACATTGTCATGCAGCAGATCTCCAGAACGTTTTCATCTTCAGAATTGAAACTATCCCTGTTAAACAACAGCTCCCCACTTCCTCTACCCCCACCAACCCTGGCAACCAGGTCAGAGATCATTTTAACTATAGCAATTTTAGCAAGTACTCCCTGGATAAGATTTGACCACCTCATTTCCATGAACTGTTTTTCTTTCTTCATAGATGAGAAACGGGGAGTTCTTGTCTAGCTATTTTAAAAGTGAACCCGTTATTGGCTCCGTAGTTTGCCTTTTTCCCTCATAAGAAGCAGAGAGTCACTTGGGCCTAGCCTTAGACCCTAGTTACTATAGCTCTAGTTCTCATTTACTCATATTTATTCATATCCAAGAAAGGAGGTTCTTAATGGAGTTTTAGAACTGGGAGGGAACCCTGCCCTGGCACTAAGTAAAGATTATGATTTTGGTGCTTTTCTTTTACCCCAAAGAGATGACTTGCCTTTTAAGTTGTTGCCTCACTGATAGGTGACTGAGTCATAGGCAGAGCCTGGAATCAGGACTGAAGAAGGTTCTAGCACTGCATGTGGGGATGGAGAGGCAAAGCCCATCGTATGGCTGGTGTAGCAACTCTTGTGGCTTGGGATTGGGTGAAGGGGTGACTGGGCAGCTCAAACAGTATAGGAAGCAACACCTCATTCCTGTCTTGTGGCTTCTCTTCCCCCTGACCTGGAGGCAGGAGCCAGCCTCCCAGAAAAGGAAGGAAACACACTGCCTCGGGACCTCGTCGACTACATACGCTACGTGGTGGAGATCCATGGGGAGGACTATAAGGTGAGTGGCTCAGGTTTGGCAGGAAGAACCACTTAGGCCCTTGGGAAAGCACCCTGGACCATTGGTGATCTGATCTGCTTGCCTGGTGTGTATTTTCTGAGTCTGAGTGGAAACAAAGGGAAGAAGGACTCTAGGAAGTGGATCCCACAGATAATGCTTGTCTTATAGCCGGGATAGGCTGGGTGGATGATCCCACAGATAGGCTGTTTTGCTTGCATGGTGTTTTTAAAGAACTTGAACTAATTGCCTTTTCAATTATGGGAGGTTTCAAATAAAAATCCCTATTTTGGGCTTGTTAAAAATGGAAAGATCTGGCTACCTTGGACACCTGTGCCTAGATGGGATTAGCTGGCCATGGATGGAGTGTGAGCTGCTCAGCTGGCCCCTGTGGGAATCTGTACCCATCTCCCCACTTACACTGCGAAGCGAGGAATCTGAAGCTCTGGGATGGGAACTGGCTTGTCCCCCTCTGGCAGCAGTGGTGTTTGAACCTTTGCTTGTCCAGCCCTCAAGTGACCCTTCTCCATTCTTAGGCTCCGGACCGGGATGAGAAGAAGTACTACCAAGATATCCCGAAACAGATTTGGAATAAGATCAACGTCTGTAAGCATTTTCCCCCAGTGAGTGGCAAGCCTTCGCCGATTCCTTGCAGGAGAATAAGATGGAGGTTGAGTGACTGGTTAACACCTGCTTCAGGCTGAGGCTTCCTCCTAGACCTGAGAAGTTGGAGCCAGGGCTTAAGGCAAGGAGGGGGGTGTGGCTGCAGAGAAGGCTGGTCCCAACCCCATGAAAACAAAGGTTTTTTTTCTCTTAATTCCTCTCTCTGGGGAAGGAACTGTCTCCCAAAGGCTTCAATTTATATCCTTTGGGGCGCTGCAGGAAAAGCCAGAACCTGCTGGTTACAGAGTGGGTGATTTGCTTTAATCTATTGTGTATATAATTAAACAAAGCTATTTTACTTCTCTGATGGTCTTGTGTTTACCCCTCCCAGCTAAGCGCTGGGGCCACCCCTGTAAGATCCAACTTAGCCACGGCAGGGGAGCCACCCAGCCCTTCACGCGCCACGTTCTCGAGCTCTCCTAGGCACAGCCTCCTGTCTCTTCTCGCCGTCCTCCTTCCATGGCTCTGTCTGGGTTTCCTGCACGGCAGTTCATTAACTCTCCTGCAGAGACCTTCCGGGAACTGTGGGCTACTCCGAAGGGGCCTGCTTTGCCAATACTAGCGCGCCCCCCGCCCCCGCACCTCTGGTGGGCGGGGGCTGCTGGGCTGCTTGGCTGCTGCTTCTTGGGTGGCGGCGGCCTGAGGCCAAGCGTGGCTCGGCTGCCAGCCGGCAGGGAGCTGCAGAGGCCAACGCTGGGCCTGCCTCCTGCCTGCCCTCTGCGCTCCTCTGCGGCTTGCCTGTGTGGCCCAGGCCCGGGGCCTGCTTTTTGAGACTGGCGGACGGCTGAGACCAGCCCACTGTGTGCCAGGCCCTGGGCTGCACACCGTGTGGTCATTCTCTGGGGCTGGGCTTGCCTGACTAGGGTGACGTGGGGACATGATCACGCTACATAGCAGGCTCTCAGGCAGGCTGTGGGGTGGACACTTGGCATTTCCATAGTCTTCATAGTTTGTCCTCAGCTGTTAATAATACAAGAATCCTCTTATTCCTAAGGTTTCTTCTAGAAGTATCTAAAATGTCTCTTACTGTTCTTGAAGATCTTAGTGTTTTTACATAGATCATTTCACATAAAATCCTATGGGATATGTGGTTTTATTTTCATCGTACAGGTAAGGAAACAGGCTTCAGAGGTGTTAGTGGGGGGTTTGGAGGCAGGTCTTTCCAACCACTAAGCCTAGGCTTTCGCTTGCTGTCCTTCCCTTTGTCTCCTGAAGGCAGTGCACCCGCCCCACATGGTCCGGGCAGACTGGAAACAGGCTGGGAGTGTCCCGGAAGGCCCTCCCTGTGGGACCAGCCCGCTTAGGCCTTGGCACTGTCTGGCCACCAAGCACTGTGCCCTCAGCCTTTAGGTGGTGTTGCAGCAGAGCTCCTGAGGGCCTTTGTTCTCTGTCTTCGTTACTTTTACCCTCCATAGCATCCCAAGTTCAGGCCTTTGACTAGGCTGCTGCCTTACTTTCTTTGTTTACCCAGTTCAGGTGCCAATTTTAGGAAGCTTCTCGTACCACTGTCGCCTGCCCCCAAGCTAAGTGTCCTTAGTCTCAATGCCGCAGACTTCCTGTTAACAATACCTATCACTGTCACATCTGTCTTTTAATCTGCTTGCCTATCAGAATCCACAGAGCCCTAAGGCAGACGCTGCGGGGGGGGGGGGGGGCGCTGCCGGGGACACCTGTGGAATGGCTGACTGCATGGCCCTCTGCAGAGACAAGCCAGAGTTGTGAGATTTTTAAAAAGTTTTTTCAATTTTCATTTTTTTATTTTAAAGAGAGGAAGGGGGAGGGAGAGAAATATCCATTTGTTGTTCTGCTTAATGGTATTTTTTAGAGAGAGGGGAAGGGAGGGAGAAAGAGGGAGAGAGACACTGGTTGTTTACCTCTCATACACCCCCAGCTGGGGACCTGGCCCACACCCCAGACATGTGTCCTAACTGGAAATCAAACCTGCAGCCTTTTGGTCCCCAGGCTGGTGCTCAATCCACTGAGCCACACCAGCCAGGGCCGGGCTTGTGAGATTTTTATTGGCACCCCTTTGCAGAGGAACTGGGGGCTGTGATTGACTGACTTCATTCCCTCTCATCCTTATAGTTCATCAGCCCAAGCTGGTTTGATTGGTTTTGTTACTGAACAGAGAGTGGGGTCCTGCTGCCTGCCGCCCCGTCTGCCAGGGGTGTCCAACCTGTGGCCCAGGATGGCTATGAATGCCCCGCAACACAAAATCATTAATTTACTTACAACCTTTCTTTTACTCATCAGTTTTTGTTAGTGTCTGTATACTTAAAGTGTGGCCCAAGACAACTCTGCTTCCAGTGTGGCCCAGAGATGTCAAAAGATTGGAAACCCCTGCCAGGCAAAATTCCAGAAGCAAAGGTTTGGTGATAAAGGAAAGAGTCTTTATTCCAAAGCTTCACAATCTTGGAATAATAGCTTTCCACCTGGATTACTCACTTAAGCCTACTAATTAAGGCTAAACTCATCAGTAGCGGCTTTAATCACCTAAGCCTATCAATTAAGGCTAAAGTCTAACACTTGCGCTCTCCTAGTAGATTGTTGTCTCTGTTTTGTTTAGTTCTTCTGGAGTTCTGTTTTTGGATTTGGGAGCTCTCTCTTTGTCTCCTCAACTTGGCAAGCTCTTTGTGTTCTTTTCTATGTATTAGGTAGAGCTGCTGTGTGTGGGGGACGGTGACGGCTGGCGTCAAAAGCCAGGTTAAGCGCTTGGCAAGGCCACGCTTGACTGCTTGCATCTGCAAGGCAGAGCAAGCCAGCAGCTGACAGCAGCCTGTGCCCGCAGGGGTTGGGAAGGAAATAGTTAACTGCAAGCTTCAGCTGAATGCGCAGCCTTGGCAGAAGAAAGTTTTATCATTTAGGCAGCCTGGGAAATGAACAATCTTCGCCAGCAGCTGCAGAATGTCCTTGAGCTTCATCTAATCAACCCCCACAAAATAACGCGAAGAGCTCGTTCAGGGTCATTGTCTCTCCATCAGAGGACAATGTCCCACCCTGGCCCCCACTTTTCTCTATACTGTCTTGTGTTGTGTCTTTGTGCTGTGTTGTCCTCTTCTCAATCTCCCGTCGCCCCGACTCAGGGACCTCCACTCTGCGCAGGTCACGGCAGCTGTGTAGTAGGTGTTCTGAAGGGTCCAGTGGCATAGCCTCCCCAGTCACACAGGCTGGGTACTCAGGTGTGCCAAACCCCTCTAAACAAATGTGGGCTGTGAATACCCTGCTCTTGAGTGAGTCTTGATTGCTGTTGGCATGTCAGTGGCAGGGATTTACCCCTGGGGTGATCATCTGTAAGGACTGGTGGCCACCACCGGCCTCCGACCACAGTGGAGGATCAGCTGTGCACGGGCTGCCCCACACAGCAGGACTTACTCAGTCCTGAATGGGGAGCAACAACAGGCCATGAGGAGCCTCCCGGGGAAAGGTTTCCCAGAAGAGGTGACAAGTGCAGAGGCATTAGGGCCGGACCAACCTACGCTTCCCCTGATGCCGAGGCTGCTCCTGGGGGCCCAAGGGCAGAGGGCACAGAGCTGGGGAGGAGACCTCCGGACAAAGTAGCCCACGGTAGGCCGGGCAAAGCAGCCTTGCTCAGCGGGGACTGAGCACCACCAATTCGGGGGAAAGGCCGACAGTCTGGGGCTCTGAGACTTCTGTCCTATCTGCGCCCGCAGGGCATCTGAGGAGGCTTTCGTGAAGGAATCCAAGGAGGACGCCCCAGGCACAGAGTGGGAGAAGGTGGCCCAGCTGTGTGACTTCAACCCCAAGAGCAGCAAGCAGTGCAAAGACGTGTCCCGCCTGCGCTCCTTGCTCATGTCCCTGAAGCAGACACCGCTGTCACGCTAGGCGCCTGCCACCAGCATGGCCCCATGCACGGGCAGGGCCGGGGCAGAGGAGGAGTGGCGGCAGCGGGCAGCTGGGAGGGAGGCCTCGGGCCGCTGCTGAGCACGGCCGCGCCCTTTCTCCCCGCCTCCCGGGGCTGGGGAGGGGACGCCCGCCCTGAGGCCCAGCCCTCACACTGCCCCTGTCCACAGAGTTGCGAGGGTCCCTCCAGATGTACTTTTTCCTTGGCTTAAAGGGTGTGTTGTTAACTCTTTTTACACTTATTTATTATCATTCTCATTTCTCTGGAAGCCACAAATGGTGTCAGGGCTCAGTTTGTGCTCGGAACCTCCCCAGCCTCCTGGCCTGGAGAGAAGGCGAGGCCTTCCCCTCGGAAACCCAGGAGCTCCCAGCTGCAAGTGGGGGTCGCAGGTGTCTAGGCCTGCTGCCTACACCCCCCGGGAGGGAAGCGCCTGTGGCGCTCTCTCGGAATGCTTTGGCCCCCTTGATCTCTCCTGACCCTTGAACCAGCCTGCGGTGGGGATCCTGGGGTTCCCTTCACAGAGGTGCAGGCCCAAGGCTCCCAGAAGGTCAGGGGCTTGAGGTGGGAGGGCAGAGGCAAGACCAGGGGTTCCCAGTCGAGTGGAGGCTCGTCTCAGCCTGGCTGAGGGGCCCCTGAACGTGGCCTCTGCAGCTCCCCTTCCTTCAGCGGCGCCCCTCTGAGGATTTGGGCTAAAGAGCAGTGACCACCCCTTCTTGCCCTCCAGCAGAGGTTGCAAACGCGGCTCCATTCAGAATACGGTGGCCTGCACGGTGTTCAAAAAGACTAGAGTAATCGCCAGCCATATTAGTTTCGCAGACCTGTTGTAACAGTGTCCGACAGTGTTTGGTTTAGAACAGATCGCCTTCCTCCCCTGGAGGTCAGGAGTCCAAACCAAGGTGTCGGCAGGGCCACGGTCCCGCTGAAGGCCCTGGGGAGGGGTGCGTTTCAGCTTTCTTCCATCTCTTGGCCACCTCGGGCGCTCCTTGGCTTGTAGATGCATCACTGCAATCCTGGGTTCCTCTTCATATGGCCTGTCCTCTGTGTGTGCCTTTGTCCCTATTTCTCCTTTTTTATAAGGAAAGTAGTCATATTGGATGAGGGCCCACCTTAATCTCACTTTATTACCTCTATATTTAAAGATCCTATATTTAAAT